GGTTTCGAGGACACGTAAAGGAAATTGTTCTTTTGTTCAATGAGAACGAGGTGGATACAATGTCTATAGTGTTATTGGTCTTTTATTGCCGATGTCTGTAGTGGTCGAATATTCTTTTTGTTCCGAATCCCATTTCTCTAATGGATAATTTCAGTTCCATCAGACCTTTCATAATAACACGCTGGGATGTGGAGAGTTAGATTGAACTTTTTTAGAGTAGACAAGAAAAAGTAGTAAGTTGGATTAAAATCCGAGTTCGAACGTAGAAAAATACAGAGATGACACGTAACTATGAAAAATATCGTGTTGGGTGACGAGGAATGAAAAATAGATTTTATGTCATGAGGAAACGATAAGGATACTTTCTGAAATCAAATAACTACAGCGGAAGATACTTCTGTATATATCCATATCCATGCTAATATTATAAATATGATAGTTTGTGAGGATGTATGTATGTATGTTTGTGGCTCTTTAACACGCCTAAAGGACTGAACGGATTTTGAAGAAACTTTACATAAATACAGGTTAATTTTGGTCATTATATAACGATACCTAAGTATTAAGTAATTCGAAAAAAGTCTTGCTTCCTGAGAGCAATCTTGGCGTGCGCTGTCTATACCGTTGGAGTTACATGTAGATAATGTACCGTAAGATTGTTTATCTTAAACAGTTCTAAATAAAATTTCACGATAGCATATATCTACCTCTTATGTGGTAACCACTATATGCATAATACTGAGCCATTAATACTTTTTTTTTACAATTCACATTTTAGAATATCTGTCGTTTTAAGTATTTAATATACAAATTACTTATTGTCTTTTACAATAAGTAATTTGGACGAAAAGTTCAAAAGAGTCATCACGATAAGATTAACTTGAAGCAACGCAGTAAGCCAGAGGTTCTCAAACTTTCCAACCCGAGGCCCCCATCATGGCCTACCATAAATTTGTGCCCCCTTAATAATGTAGATATAGGCCTACTTTTATTACTTCTTGCTTTCATACTTTTATATGCCTAATATATACAGAGCACAGTGGTACACAATACAAACTATGGACATAAAAAGTATTTCCTCAAGCTCAGACTAATGCTCATGATGTATACACAAATTAAAACAATGAAGGAAACATAAAAAAAAGGAAAGGATAAAAGTCAACTAGCAACAATATTAAACCTAAATTAGAGAGAAAAAACCCAAACTATTTTCAACATAAATAAAAACATTTTAGTGGTTGTTTCTTATTTGATCAAGATACACAAGTTGGCTTCAAAGTTAGTTTTTAATGTGAAGAATGGGACTGTTTTTTATCTGCACAAAGTTTTTCAAACTGGGAAGTGATGTCTGATAAAGCAAGTTTTTTGGTGACATCAAGCCTTCCACGATATTTTGACTTCATGGCAGAAAATCCTATTTCACATAAATATATAGTTACCAATGGTACTAGTATTCTCATCGCTTGCTCATACAGTCTTGGGTGCTCGTTTTTAACACTTATCCTGAAAACTGACAAAGAGTTTTCTTTTTCAAATCTTGACTTTAATAACTGATTGCATTGAACGTCAATAAATTCTTCTTGATCTGCTAAACTGAATGAAGTCATTTCGTTCTGATCTTGAAATGGGGTTTGAACGGAATTAAACGGCTGGAAGTCTTCATAGAAATATTAATTGAATTTTGTCTGTAGAGTGGACATATGTTTTATGAAACAAGTTGCTAGCTCTTGCGGAAGCTTCACACACTCAACTTCCTGCAACATGTTCAGCAATATGTGGAAAACGCTCAAATCAAGTTTTTTCGCAGCAGCTTCCTACAGCGACAACTTCTTAATAAACCCTTGTACTTTTTCACTCCAAGCAAATAGTCATCTCTCGAAAGAATCAGTCCAGTCATCAACCGAATACGATTGTAGATACTAACAATCGAAACGTCGTGAACTAACGTGACTTGGAATCTCTACACTTTTTATTATTTTCTTTTTTCATTCCTTTATTTTTATTTATTCAATTGTTATATTTTTACTTGTAGTTTATTTCACTATTATTTCATTTCAGGTTTATTTGTGCTTAATATAATTGTTATTTTCAGCTATTCATTCTTAATTATTCTTTTTTAGTTGTTTCAGGGATTTCAATTCATTTTATATAGTAGATAATGGAAGTCCGAACTAGTGAAATTCAACAAATCTGTATGTTCGGAACCCATATCTCCACATAAAACTTCAAGCAACCTTGACTGAAAAGGCTGTGCTTTGAATAAATTCACTGTTTTATTAACAATTCGAAGAACTTAATTTAAGCTTGGACTTAGGTTTTTCGAAGTGAGTGCCTCTCTGTGTGTAATGCAGTGGTTCCATTTGACATTTGAGGCAACAACTTTGACGGAACCTTGAAGTCCCTGGTGTAGTCCTGCTATAGCTCTGGCTATAGCATTCCTCCCATTGAATATCATTTTTCTTAAAATAACTGTCGTCAATAATCTGAAAAATTCACTCTCCTGTAATGTTGGTGGTGAATCCCTCACAAAAAATCTTTTCTTCTCGAATGTCTGTGTCGTCAATAAATCTGATATAAGCTGAAAAGTGAGACTCTGTGATTATCAGAAATGTCTGATATTCGCCTTGACACAGTGTCGTTAGAAAGAGGGATGGAATTTAGTAGCTGTGCAGAGCTACCTCCGAACATTGTGGCAACTATATCAATAGCGGCTGGTGAGATAAGATTTTCTCCTATTGTGTGTGGCTTTTCACATTAAGCAATTTTATGAGAAATCTTGAAAGACGCCATAAAAGCTTTGGAAGGCACAGTCGTCATTTTTGTTAATGTTTTTGAGTAGATTTAAAGCTATATAGCTAACGTGCAAAAAATTGTTTAGGTTTATTGACTAGCTCTGAATGTTAAGTTTCTATATGCCTCCTTAACTTTTCAGGTTTCATACTATCGACTGCTAAGGTAGCCAAGCACACTACACATTGAGGATTATCTTCATTGTTAATAGTAGTTTTAGTAAATCCTAGTGACACATGAATGTCATCATACTTTCTTCTTTTTGCATCCCGCACTGACTTCGAAGTACTTGCAGTTGACTCATGAGTTGTCCCACCACTGATGTCATCCTGAGATGAACTGTTTGATATACACGCACTACTAGAATCACTTGTCAAAAATATCTTCTTTCTTAAAACTTATTCATAAAACGAAGTGAATTTAGAGCAAACTAAAACTTCACAACGAACAGAATACACTTGTGTTATACAAGACACCGAACATAACCTCAAAGTTTTTGTTTAGTAGTGTCAAGCGCCGTTTATCGTACAAACCGTTGCAAGCGCTACTGGCGCTAGCCTCTTGCTCCTTGAACATAGAGGTCACTAAATTGAAATAAAGAGTTTCACCGTTTTTACACAAAAATCTTGTCTTTTTGATGACTATGGAAAAAACATATTCGAGTAGTTGTCTTATAATTCATATGTTTTCAAAAAAGTTGGTTTTTTAATTTATTCACTTTCTCACGCCCCCCCTCAAAAAGCTTCGCCCCTGGGGGTCGCACCCCACAGTTTGAGAACCTCCGGATCAAGTCAATTGATGAACACAAAACACGGCAAATTTGTTCTTAGAGCAATTNCACAACATTGTCCAATTTATTTTTCTCACTTTCACTTGCAAATGTGAAGGTATTATATATTGACATTCCTTCTTCTCCAATATAGTGAAGAAGTTGGGCAATCTGTACTTTTTCGTCCTTTTTGTTAACTTCTGTAGCCACAAGGTAGTTTTCGAATTTCTGTCGCCACTGCTTCCAATTTTCCGATAAATTACCGGAGAAATTCATAGGTGCAATTCCTCTGTATTCACCCATCTCGTTTCCATTTTCAATTATCTACTTAATTTTCAACTTTAATTTCAATTTATTTCCGACTGCGCCATGTTATATATCTAAATGAAACGACGATTTCTCATAGACTGTCTTTATTTCAGTTCTCAAGCCAGTTCCATAAAAAAAAACTATTAGTTTTTGCTTTCGCCAAGGCTGCAATGATTTACTTTGTTTACATGGTGGTATAATATTTTGACCAAGAAATACAATACGTGACAGCGCCCACCCCCTGGGGGTCGCGCCCCACAGTTTATACCAACACTAATTTTTTTTCTTTGATATTTTGAGTTGTTAATGTTTTTTATTGTTTCTGATATGATTTGGTAAAGGCGCCGTTCCAGATAAAAGGCATTTTTGTCCTATAGTTTTTTCACATCGAGGTTTAATCAAATGTTCATATTTATTTCCACTATGGTGGGGATGAATCACTATTCCTGATGAAATGTTTTTTCAAAATCATCAAATATAGTCGAACAGAATAGTTTACGTGCATCAAGTACACCAGCTCCTTGTGTAGTCTATCGCTTGAGTGAGTTCTATTTTTTGTAGCATAATTTTGAGTATCCATTTTTGTATTGTCCCAAGATTGTTCGAGCAGCAGTCATTCCCCCCTTCCCACTCTATTATTCCATATGATATTTGTGATTGTACAAAAGCATAATAAAAAAAATCAGATATTTAGTGCCTGAGATATTCCTCAAGTATTAGAATTTGGCCAGTGTACTTCTCAATTTTCTAATGATATTTTTAACATGAACATAGTTTTGTCCTATGTTCAATGGACTCATGTTTGACAGAGTACTAGAATATGACCTAAAGGGTAGGTATTTGGTTTTATCGAAATCAATTGTCAGTTTGTTGTGTCGAAATCAGATGTCAATTTCTAAGTCATCTGATTCCGCAGATAGTTTGAGCTGTTTCCAAGAATGGTATCTGTAAAAAATAGCTGTATCATCAGCAGAACTCAATACTCGAGCGTTTGTTTCGAGACATAGTCATTTAAATTGATAGAAAAAGGAATGGGACCTAAGACGGTACCTTCTGGAACGCCGTGACATGCCATCATTTAAAATACACCCTGTATGTATGTATGTAGTTATAATACTCACAGTGTACTCACCTATGAACGATTTCGTCGTGGACAACATTGAAGCACATGGCGGTCAGGGCCATCCCCGACATAATATAAATCGAACAAAACCAAATGGTCGCATTGGACTCGTGTTGCAAGAACGGATCAGATCCTGGCACCATATCCCCAAATCCGATCGTTGTGAGACTCATAAAACAAAAATAGAAACCATTCAACAACGACCAATCTTCCAATTTGTACAGGGCGAATGTACCTGAAATAAAATGTAGGATTAATATGTATGTGTCGGCGCTGTTTGCTCTACGAGGATTAAAGAGGGGTTAGATTGATGGGCTCATATTCTTTCACACTCTGAATAGACTGGTGGATATATATCTCTGGAACTTTCATTTCAGTTGTGCTAAGCTTTCACGAAAATAAATGTGTACGTATAATGAAAATGGGAATTCAAGAAAACAATTCAGGTTTTTATTTCGACAGTGTATGTGAATTTTGTAGTGAAATAATGGACCAAAGTAACTATTGATACTACCAAGAATTCTTTCCTCATTTGGAATAATTTTGCTGAATTCAGTTCTACAACGTTCTGCTATGAGGAAAAATTATATGAATTTCAGTAACCATCGATGATTGAATTCAATCGAAATAACCGCCTTTTGATTCAGTGCACTTTTGCCAACGAAACACAAGTCGATTAATTCCATCAGCATGAAAATTGTGTGCTCGAGATTTGATGAAGTCAACGTTGGCCGTTTTTGCTTGGTCCTAATTAGTGAAGGTTTTACCGGTGAGAAAGTTATCGACGTACTTAAAAAGATGATAGTCGCTTGACGGTAGCTCAGGTGAGTATGGTGGGTGAGGCTGAACTTCAACGTCCAATTCGTTCAATTTTTGGACGGTGATTTGAAGAACCTGTGGAAGAGCATTGTTATTTGACAGGAACATTCCATCGATTTGTTGGTTGCAGAAAGTTATAGTGAATCATACCAGCCGCTGACCGTCTTTGGGAAGCGCTTGAGTGGTTAATAGGTGTTCAACCACTGTCCTGAACGTATAGTGTTGTCGTAGAAGGTACATTTTTCATCACCCCTAATGATCCGATAAAAAAAAATATTTTTGGTTGCGCATAAGCAAAAAAGAACAAACCTTGAAACGTGTCAATTTCTGTCAATTGTTCAAATGGTGGGGCAACCACGCTTCGAGCTTTTTGACCTTTGTGATAGTTTTAAACCATCAAAAAACATGGGAGTTAACGCCCAGTTCTTCAGCTATCCCATGCACTGTTTGTGCATGTGTTTTAAAAGCAAGTACGAAATTCACTACTTGGAATGACATCATTTCGAAATAGTGCCAATATAATCGCCATTCAAGTTACCCTCAATGGATAAGGGACCAATGATATGGTTTTCTACAATCCCTGCCCAAACATCAACCTTTTGAGGGTATTGCGTGTGTTCTTCTCTCATCCAGTGAGGATTTTTTGTTGACCAGTAGCGGCAATTTTGTCGATCAGCATGACCGTTAATCGACAAAGTATACTCATTAGAAAACATAACGTCTTCTAATTGGATGATATTGTTATCCAACATGTTCATCATTTGCTCACAAAAATAAGTTTTTATCAAAATCGTCTTTCATGAGCCCCTGAGTAGGTATCATTTTGTAGGGATGCATTTCACTTTCTTTTAATATATTTACTATCGATGTATGGCTAACATTTAATGTAGTGGATGCCTGTCTAATCGATGTGGGTTTTCCTCAGACTCACTCAAGCATCACATCTAAATTGACTTCATCACTCATTGCATTGGCAGCTGCTTTTTTTATCTGCCCCACATGACCAAGCTCGCGAAATTGCTTCTCTATTTTGCTTATTGTTTCTTGAGATATGGGCGGTAAATTAGAATATTTCTCATGATCACAAGCCTATACTTCCCATTTGAAAAATTGGGGGTTGTACCTGTCATTCGACGGGGGTTGAAGGTAAGGGTACCGTTTTTCTGTTGAAATATGTCAAATTATAATTTAAATTTGACGTGTTCCGGGATTTTGTTAAAATATGTACCGTAACCGAAATAATGAATTGGCTTTTACAAACTGGATACATTTTATTTTCCAGATAAGGCAGAAACCAAGAATATATCGGTCCACGTATTTCTGAATCATATAAAATGTTCAGAAGTATTTTATGATTAACAGTATTAAATGCCTTCCTCAAATCAAGTGACAAGAGATCACTTATTTTACTGAAATCTTATTCCGTCTGGTGATTGGTAACATCATCTATAATAAATTGATAGATTTAGCCGTTACTACGTGGTAGGAAATCATAATGAAGAAAAGAGAATTGAATCTTTTTATATTTTTTACCACTTTTATTTATAATATACTTTATTGTCTCAAGAAGGTATTCTTATTGACAAAGTTTACGTACTGAGATATAAAATACACTTGAAAATATAGACTCACAAACAACATCAAAACTAAAAACAACATTAACAAATCTTACTCACTAAGATTTTTGTCATAGATACATACAGACATATAGTACAAAATAAATAAATTAATGTATGCGAGAATACGCTCGCACATGTACGAATACATACTATAAGTAAAATAAACAAGAAATATCAATTAGGGATGATCATCGTAAAATTCCTGCAAGCTATAAGCCTGCTGATTAAAACTCCTTTGATGTCTTTTCGGAAGTATTCAATGTTCAGCTTTGCTTCTTTGAGGCATTCAGGCAGGTGATTGTACATTTCAACACCGTTATAAAAAAAAGAATACTTGATTAATGCGGAGGAAGGGATAGGCAGTTTCAGGTTATTTTTGTTACTCATGCGGGTGTTGTAATGGATATAATTGTTGTTATATCGCAATATATGTTTTCTAACGAGACATACAGTTTCTAAAATAAAGAGTGCTACCACTGTTAATAAATATTCGTTTTTCTTCAAATATTAGCTTGCATGATTCACGTGGATACATCATGTATATGTGTTTGATTGCTCTTTTTTGTAATTTCAAAATAGAATTAAGAAGGTGGGAACTGCACACCCCCCAAAAAGGTATACCGTATCTCAGGTGCGTCTCTATCATAGCATGATATGCAGTTCTTGCTGTAGAGCTTCCAAGTTCTCTAGATATAACTCAGTGCATAGCACCCCGAGGTAACTGTAGCCCTCAGTTTTTTTTATGTGGTTTTCGAATTCCAGACCTTTGTCTATATAAAGTCCTAGAAACCTAGCGCAATCTTTATTTTCAATAGTTCCGTTAGCTAAGGGTAAATTGTCAAGATTACATTCAAAAGAGATCATATTAAATGATAATAAATTTGAATCACACCAAGACTTTACAATTAAAATGTCTTTGGATATGTTTTCATTTTGTGACATAGTGTATCCACTGATACACTATGCCACAAAATTGTGGTATCGTCTGCAAAAAGAGTTAGTTTTCCAGATACATCTATAGTTAATAAGTCATTAATATATACAAGAAAGAGGATCGGGCCTAATACTGAACCTTGTGGTACACCCGAATTGATTTCTAGTTTTTTTGATAGTTCGTTTGTCCTCACCATCTGACTTCGTCCCGTTAAATATGACTGAAACCACTCGAGCGTTTTTCCTCTACAACCACAATAATACAACTTATGCAGGAGTAAACTGTAGTTAACACAGTCGAACGCTTTCGCAAATCGCAGAAGACTGCCGCGGCTACATCTCCAATGTTGATATTTGCATATACCTCATACAGAAAACTGAAAATTGCGTCATGGGTGTTTTTATTGGTTTGGAAGCCGAATTGATTTTCATTGATTACTTTGTGAGTTACAAGAAACTCATTGAGCCTTTTTTTGACGAGTTGTTCGATAATTTTTGCCAACGTAGGTATAAGGGAAATTGGCCGATAGTTTGAAGGGTCTTCAAGATCGCCACCTTTGTGTAGAGGAATGACTACCGATAATTTTAAGAAAGATGGGAACACTCCACTATGGAATGAGAAGTTTATCAGTAACACAAGAGTTTCAAGGGCTTCAATTGGGAGATTTTCAAAAATTTTAATTGAGATGTCATCAAAACCTACTGCTTTTTTATTTTTTATGTCTTTGATCACTTCTGCAAGCTCATAAATATTAGTATCTTGCAGT